TCCCTACACCAACACAACGTCAATACACCGTAGTATTCCCTAGCAATACCGTTTCTTTAGAATTGGAACACTCAGCCTCAGGGTTTATTCATTTCTGTATTACATGAGCCCTTATGAATTAGTTGTAATAGTGGGTTAATTTACGGTCCCAGTACACTTACTAGTTACTAGCCTTAGCTATATCAGTCTATGGATCAGTATACAGCAAGTGCCGTACACTACAACTACTTGCAAGTACAACTTCCCGTCACTATGATATTGATAGTAATGTAAATAACCCGACAAGACTGTACATATCAGTGTATGACTGCAAGTCTGCACTGCAAGATCAAGGCTGCACTGCAAGATCATAGATTCGACTAGCTCCTTTATATACAGGTTATTTTTACTGCCTATAGCCTAGAGTCCTAACATATAATACGATGTATTGCGATGTATGTGTTTGTGCGCGTTTATGCATGTATTGCTACGTGTTCTCGGCTTATATAGCTTAGTCACTCGATGGGTAATCGAGGTGGGAGCGAGTCCCAGTCTATATAGCCTTTGTCCTTGCAGCCATTTCCATTACTGGGCAAGGTTCGCGAACGTGAGAATTTCGTCAGTTTTTCTGTGATTTTGCGTCACACAGCTCGGTTACGAAGAGAGAATTAAATTATGTTTTTATAACAAGTCAACATTGTTCAGGTCCCAAATGTCTATACCCTCTGTTTCCCCCACTAAAATTGCGGACTGTTCGCTGGCAGCTATGGATCCGTGCGCCGGCCAATTCATTCGGCGCACGGATCCATAGCTGCCAGCGCTGCATACTGTCGTAGGACGTTCCCGCGGTCGCGTGCGCCTTGCCGCGGAATTGCGCGCAAGATCTGCGCTTATAGCGCTTGGGATCAACACCTCCTTTCGGCAACGCTTCTCTAGTATCCCGTCTCATCTGGTTGTTACTGCGTTCAGTATCCATGTTAAGGATACTCTCAAGGTTTTAGGCAAAATTTTACCGATTTTTTTTTCCGATTTTATTTGACGGCTATAACACTATGTGCCACCGCTGTATCTCTATGTAACGGTACATGTGAACTTTTAGAGCGTTTTGATTGCCCGCGTACACGTGTAGTGAGCAGCAGCTGACGTCACTGATGACGTCAGAGACATGATACAACCAGAATTTTCATGATATTCACTAAGCCAGTATCATTCAGCATCAACTCTCCTACAGCTGTCATCTGCCAGTGATAGTGAAATTGCCGCGCGACCGAAAATTACGAAAGCCCAGAAGGCTCATGCGAAATGCGAAATGCGAGATGCAAAATGCGAAATGTGAAATGCGAGATGCGAAATGCGAGATGCGAAATGCGAAATGCGAAATGCGAAATCTGAAGCAACCAATCAGAGAATGTGTTGGTCTTGACAAATCGCATGGCCGGTATTAATTACTACAAAGACAAAGATATATGCATGGCGATCTCGATTACAAATAGTAGGTCTCAGGGAAGAGATATAGTGAATATAGAAATAAGTTGTGGATATAGAAATCAGTTAACCCTAACCCTAACCCTAACCTTAACCCTAACCCTATCCCTAATTCTAAAATAAAACAAAATTAGCCAAAAATAATAAACAATAAAATTAATAAAAGACAAAATTTGCCAATCAGAACCGTTTTAGTTAGCGCTTAACGCGCCCTCTAGCGGATCACTATCTCTCCCCTGTGCAAAATTTTAATACAAACAATGAGGGTGAACAATTCACCTTCACATTCATTGAAGATCGTGGGTTTACGTTGGACAAACTTGGTAAGTTTTTCTGCTCTCTAATACATATAGGTGCGGGCGGACATACGGGAACTTTGCCACATCCGGGACTTTCTTAACCTAGCAACCAGCTGTGCCGGTGAAAACAACAGCCTGTCTCCGTGAGCTTGTACCGTAGTATTTGGACGCTCGCCCGAAACTGGACACTCCTAAGTGCTCATGCGCGCAGGCGCCTCTTGTTTTGCAAGGGCGCACACAGCGCATGCGCAGCATGCGCAGTAGTCATCTGCGCATCTTGCCTTTCGACACGGGGGAAATGCTATCCCCCGGGCGCGTGATTTTTTTCCTAGGTCAATCCAAGGAGCTACATATAACATGATGTTATATGTAGTTGTATGTAGCTGTTATATGTAGCTCTTTGGGTCAATCAAGAACATAGGGCTGTAGTAAGCGCTGCTATTGGTTGAGCTTGTTTCGTCACTCAATGACGTCACAGTATTGTCATATACATAGCACATTCAAAATTCAAAATTCAGATATGGCTCTATAGGGTAGCGGTTTAAGCGCCAGCGTCAAGTATGAAAGGTCGGTGGATCGAATCCCATCCGTTTTCTAATTATTTTTCTGTTTTCTGTATTTTTCTATCTTTATTCGTTGAACATTTTTTCCCCAATTAACGCAAATATTTACATGATTTATTTACAACATTTTAATAACAACAATTAATTTTTACAACAATTAAAAATTAAATTTTTTATATATATTTTTAAATAGGATTTGGGTTAGGGTTAGAGTTAGGGTTAGGGTTAGGATTAGGGTTAGGGTTAGGGTTAGGGTTAGGGTCACAATGCAGTGAATGCACCATAAAACAGGAGTTTGAGGCACGTGATTGTGACACGTAACATAGGGATGACGCCCTGTCGCTAGCCGCATGTGTTTAGCACGACATTAGCTGAATCAAAAAGATTAGAATTTAATATGAACAAAACAAATATAATGGTTACCGGTATATAAAATTCACAAACAAAGAAAGATTTTTGCATCATTCCTTGATATACGTATATTGATATGATTCCTTGATATTTCGTGATACCTAAGCCTAAGGCTAAGGACTAAGGTGCCTAGGCTAAAGTGGATTTGCACCGGTTATAACGTTATGATGAGTCCGAACTGAAAAATGTAGGTTAAGGGAAATAATGATTATGGGCAAGAGCAAAAATTGTGGAAATCATACTATAGACCATCACAGCGGCACGGGCGGTTCTGCAGCGAGTGCTTATCTCTTATGGTGCTATTTTCTCAGACACATTGCGGTGCCAGCCCGTTACCAACATTGTGGCTTTACATAAGGTCAACGCCTGTTAACGCCTTAGCCCAAAACAAGGAGCTATTATTTAGCTCCTTGTCCCAGAACGCTAGTCAATGTTTACATGGCCACAGCGCAAATCTCTTGGATTCATAAAAATAATAAATTAAAATCAAGAGATAAATAGCCACATCAGCGGGCCGTTCCCCTAGCCCATCACTTCATCTCTCCAGCGTGCAAAATTTGTTTTTAAAAATAACATGTTTACTTCTTTCTCATGTTTCACTGTTATTAGAAGAAAGGTAAAATCTGTGTATTCGCATTAATTTCACTCTTGCCTTCTATANTCTCGTGCTATGGACAGTATATCTTGGTACGTTTGCATTGAATGCCAAGATGCCGGTTTCCTAGGTCAAAACTGTTCCACTTGAAGATCCAGTGCTTTGATGCTAACAATCCTGCCAAATGATGCAGCGTGCTATGCAGAACAGTATCTCGGGCACATTCTCTGTGAATGCCAGATGGTTCCTAGGTCAAACTGTCTCCATGGAGAAGATCATGCTTTGGTGATAAAACCATGCCAAATGATGCAGGTGCTGGAGACAGTAATTTGGTACGTTTGCATCCCGTGTGAATGCAAGATGGTTCCTAGGTCAAACTGTGCCATTGAGATCAATGCTTTTTGATGCTACAATGATAACAACCCATGCCAAAATGATGCAGCGTGCTATGCAGACAGTATATCTGGTACGTTTGCATGTGAATGCCAAGATGGTTTCCTAGGTCAAAACTGTTCCATAGAAGATCCATGTTTTGGTGCTAACAATCCATGCCAAAATGATGCAGCGTGCTATGCAGACAGTATATCTGGTACGTTTGCATGTGAATGCCAAGATGGTTTTCTAGGTCAAAACTGTTCCATTGTAGATCCATGCTTTGGTTCTCACAATCCATGCCAAAATAATGCAGCGTGCTATGCAGACAGTATATCTGGTACGTTTGCATGTGAATGCCAAGATGGTTTTCTAGGTCAAAACTGTTCCATTGTAGATCCATGCTTTGGTTCTCACAATCCATGCCAAAATAATGCAGCGTGCTATGCAGACAGTATCGAGAATGTACCCGAGTGTGAATGCGAAGATGGAACAGTTTTGACCTAGGAAACCATTGAAGATCAATGCTTTGATGTTAACAATCCATGTCGAAATGATGCAGCCTGCCATGCAGACAGTATCTCGGGCACATTCTCGTGTGAATGCCAAGATGGCTTCCTAGGTCAAAACTGTTCCATAGAAGATCCATGCGTTAGTGCTAGCAATCCATGCCAACATGGAGGATCATGCTTTGCAGACAGTGAAACGGGTAATTACTCCTGTAACTGTCTCGATCAAAATATTGGACATGACTGTAGTTATGAAGATCCATGCTATTCGTCTCCCTGCGGTAATGCATCTTGTTACGTTTTGTTACATGATGATAGGCCTGTTGGCTACCAATGTGTTTGTTTAAGTTTAATAGTGAATAATAAGTGCATTGATAATCCAAATTATCGAGTCACAGAGAAGTACAGTCTGATAGCCATGACATCACCTTGTCAAATTGGGGCAATAGGAGACGATTGTAAATTGGATGATCCATGTTATTCTTACAGTAATCCGTGCGGCCCGCATGGCGCATGTGAACACGATTCCTTGTTTAATTTGCATTGCGAATGCGATACGCAGTACACATTCGCAAATAATACATGCGTTATCGTTAGTTAAATGTGTTTTCCCGCTATCACTCCACATTTCGTACATTTCTCTTGTTATTGCTTTTATTAGTTCATTAGTGTGCATTACTTTAACAACACGACAGCGATACACATCATAAATGTTAGAATAAGATATACGTCACTGTTATTTAAATTAGGTCTATTAAAATTTCAAATAAATAGCATCGATTCCTTGCTATCACTATATCCACTGTACATTCATCTTGCTATTAACGGTGTAAGAGTGGCGGTAAAATCAGGGTGTCTGAGATTCATTAACTATTGATATAACGAACTGCAGATTTCATATATATTTTAGTTAGGTAATGAGAATATTGATTGAGTATTTTAACTGTCCCTGTTTGATTATATGTTTATTATTACTTCTTGTGTTTAATCTGGCGACCGTTAATAATATTTCTGTTGGAAATTTGTTTTTGTTTGTAAAAATTCGGATCCTCGTTTTACAGCCGTTTCATGCACCTTCTAAAGACAACTTTATCACGTCGTGACTGTATGTGTTCTTGATTCTATTTAACGAACAGTAGTAGTAATATTAGTGATATCAATTTGTTATTACCAGTAGTTATTTAGTATATACGGGTTTTTGTAACCAGCACCGTATTGATTGCGATTGTAATAAAATGAATGATAAATTTTTACACAGTAATGTTTCTTATTTTTCTCTTTGTGCTTTATTGTTCTCTTGTTGTTACTGCGTTTAGTATCCGTATGTTAAGGATACTCTCAAGGTTTTAGGCAAAATTTTACCGATTTTTTATTTTCGACTTTATTCCATGGCTAACACTATGTGCCACCTCTGTATATGCTCATTTCTCCATGTAACGGTACATGTGAACTTTTAGAGCGTTTTGATTGCCCGCGTACACGTGTAGTGAGCAGCAGCTGACGTCACTGATGACGTCAGAGACATGATACAACCAGAATTTTCATGATATTCAATAAGCCAGTATCATTCAGCATCAACCCTCCTACAGCTGTCATCTGCCAGTGATGCTCAAGGGGTCGTTGTCGTAACAGGTACTACAGATATGTACCCGAGGTACCGCGTACTATATGTTATACACAAAGTGTACCAGACTTGTACTACAGAAGTGTACCCTAACCCTAACACTAAGCCTAACCCTAACCCTAACCCTAATCCTAACTCTAACCCTAACCCTAACCCTAAACATACCTCATATAAAAATATAAACATAATACTAAACAACCTAAAACTACCTCGGGTACATATCTATAGTACCTGTTACGACAACGACCCTTCGTGCGCCAGTGATAGTTGAAATTGCCGCGCGACCGAAAATTACGAAAGCCCAGAAGGCTCATGCGAAATGTGAAATGCGAGATGCGAAATGCGAGATGCGAAATGCGAAATGCGAAATGCGAAATCTGAAGCAACCAATCAGAGAATGTGTTGGTCTTGATAAATCGCATGGCCGGTATTAATTACTACAAAGACAAAGATATATGGCGATCTCGATTACAAATAGTAGGTCTCAGGGGAGAGATAGTGAATAAAGAAATAAGTTGTGGATATAGAAATCAGTTAACCCTAACCCTAACCCTAATCCTAACCCTAACCCTAACCCTATCCCTACTTCTAAAATAAAACAAAATTAGCCAAAAATAATAAACAATAAAATAAATACGAAGACAAAATTAGCCAATCAGAGCAGTTTTAGTTAGCGCTTAACGCGCCCTCTAGCGGATCACTATCTCTCCCCTGTGCAAAATTTTATTACGAACAATGAGGGTGAACAGTTCACCTTCACATTCATTGAAGATCGTGGGTTTACGTTGGACAAACTTGGTAAGTTTTTCTGCTCTCTAATACATATAGGTGCGGGCGGACATACGGAAACCTTGCCACATCCGGGACTTTCTTAATCTAGCAACCAGCTGTGCCGGTAAAAACAACAGCCTGTCTCCGTGAGCTTGTACCGTAGTATTTGGACGCTCGTCCGAAACTGAGCGCTCCTAAGTGCGCATGCGCGCAGGCGCCTCTTGTTTTGCAAGGGCGCACACAGCGCATGCGCAGCATGCGCAGTAGTCATCTGCGCATCTTGCCTTTCGACACGGTCGCAATAAACAAACATGGCGAACTTCCCGGTCCCTGATGGAAACATTTGATTGAAACAATTTGAAATATGTAGTAAATTAGTAAGACTGTGCTATGTGTGTCAGGTTACAAGGCGAAACAAAAAGAAAACAAAAGAGCATGGCTACTATTTTCTACGGCCGTGCAAAACAAGATTCAAACAAGAGCAAAACAAAAAGAGCATGCCTACGGTGCGTCCAAATACTACGAGCGTCAAATACTACGGTACAAGCTTACACACGCAATACCCCATTTCCAAACCAAAAGCATATTAATTTCCTTGCATATATGCCGAAAACGTGTGTAGTAGTAGGTTGTCACAATCATATATATTGCACAGATAAGAAAATTTTTTTTTGGAGCTGCCAAAATGACATAAGAGTCCAGAGAGGCGTGATAAGTCATAAGTGGCTGACTGCCACTTAAATGTGAATGAGTAAATGAGTAAATGTAAATGGTACGCACTGAAGTCCGTCAAAATTCTCCACTATTTGTTCTGATGATTTCGTGACAGGTAGCTACTATTTTATAACTGCGTGTGTGTGTTTGCGTGCGTGTGCGTGTGCGTGTGTCACTGTGTGTGCGAGTGCGTGTTTGTGTGCGTGTTCGTGTGTCACCCGTGTGTGCGTGTGCGTGTGCGTGTGCGTGTGAGTGTGTCACTGTGTGTACGTGTGTATGTGAGTGCTTGTGTGTGTGCGTGCATGTGCGTGTGCGTGTGCGTGTGCGTGTGCGTGTGTGTGTGTGTTGTGTGTGTGTGCGTCCGAGTGTGTCACTGCGTGTGCGTGTGCTGTGTGTGCTGTGCGTGTGCGTGTGCGTGTGCGTGTGCGTGTGCGTGCGTGCGTGCGTGTGCGCGCGTTCGTGTTTGTGTGTCCTTGTGTGTGTGTGTGTGTGTGTGTGTGTGTGTGTGTGTGTGTGTGTGTGTGTGTGCGTGTGCGTGTGCGTGTAAGTGTAAAACTGTGTGTGCGTGTGTGTGCGTGTGCATGTGCGTATGCGTGTGCGTTTGTCACTGTGTGTGCGAGTGCGTGTGCGTGTGCGTGTGAGTGTCACTGTGCGTGTGTGTGCGTGTGCGTGTGTGTGCGTGCGCATGTGTAATCTTGGACTTTGTTTTTGTTTCACGAGACCTGGTGTAATTATTCAACTAATGCAAAACAACAAATAAGAATAGCTTAAATAATTTATATTGCAGTGCATATGTATCTTACATAATGTCATAAGTATAGCTACAGAAAGGCTATCTATATACTCGTAAGGCATATTAGAAGAAATTTCATGAAAAAAAAACTTATTAAAACTTCCAAACCAAGTGACGGATAATTTGAATCGTTATGCTGTAATTTATGGGCGCCAGTGACGCAATCGTGTTGTTTTCACCGGCGTTCTGCTGGTGGTCACGTGACTACTGATCTGTGACGTAGCACCGCCCGCACGCACCTATTTGTGGAAGTTTCTTTGTTCGTCTGTTCGCGATGCAAATCGATAGGCCTATGGGCCACTCTAGATATGTCATATGTCCAAGGATGATCGGTGCACCCGGTTCACAGCACGAGTGCGGTTCACACACGCACAATGAGCGAGACCTGCGCGCAGTTCACGCGCTATATGCGTGTGACAATAGATCTTTTATTATTATGTGTTACGTTTCTATCGATGATACGCGTGAATCGTATTTGAGAGAACGTCATTATCGCATATCCCAGCATGCCGTACTGAGACGTCATTTCCGACCTGCAACCGCGGGAAAGCGTGTTTGTTACTTAGCAAAATGCCAAAAGTAAATAAATACGAAATTCAAAGTGCGAGTTATTACTGGTGCAGCTGGTGGCAGCAGGAAATCGCTAACTGTTAAAGTGGACAATAAGCGGTTGGTGAAAAGCCTTTTCAATGAGCATAAAGCCCGTGATGATGATATTTTGATATGCCTAGTGTCAATGTTTCTGGTGCTGCTGGCCCTGCAAGTGCAAGGGGTAGCGGTAGACCAGCTATATATAGGGCCTACTAGTACTACTAGTACTACTACTAGTACTACTACTACTAGCAGTATGAGTACTACTACTAGTACTAGTAGTGGTACGGAAATGGAGATCACCATTACTGCGGACAGTGTTGCTGCATGGTATTCTACAGCCTATGGAACACAAAGATACACGTACATGTATAATAATTAATATATTAATATTATTATAATAATTAATGAATATTATTAGCATTGTGACTATTACTAAATTAATACTAGTAATAGTAATAGTATTAGGTTAAACTTAAGTCGACATATTATTATTAATAATAATAATGCTGGTGGATTCACATAATGAGTCCCCCCTGCTCACTCCCTCTGCTTACCATACTCGATCGTCCGCAGTAATCACTTAATTAGCTACTCTCTGCCCAAACTTCGTTCCTTCCAAACTCTTCATTTGTTTATTCATCATTTATATTTAACCTATTATGCCTCACAGTTTATTCTGGCTACCAGGCAAGCTAGACAGCGAGGATGGGAGCTTGGGCTGACCTCCCCCATCTCTGTTTCTCAGCGTACAAGAAGGTGACTCGTGGGAAGCAATGCATCATTTGTGGGGCTGACCATCCCCCAATAAGATGGCACAGATTGCAGCTATTCAGCAACTACTGCATGGTTGCTTTGAAACGGCCCATTGCATCTAAAGCTGCATGTTGCTTATTACTGGAGGGTATAAATATTCAGAGTGGCTATATATGCCGGCAGCCCTGCTATATATCTGACGGCTGCCGGGCACGGTGTTTATGTCTTCGATTTTCTAAATGCCCGGCAGTTTTAATTTTCAGCGTTATCTCAAGTAAACAAGGTTAGGGTTATAGGTTAGGGTTAAGAACTGTCGGGCATTTAGAAAACGAAGACCGTGCGGCTGCGGGCATATAGCCACAGCGATAAATATTATGATAGTGGAATCTATCTTAAAAAAAACGCCTGTGGCTATAGTCCGGGCGCGAGCACAGTCTTCGATTTCCTAAATGCCGGCAGTTTTTAATTTTTAGCGTTATCTCAAGTAAACAAGGGTTAGGGTTAGGGTTAGGGTTAGGAACTGTCGGGCATTTAGAAAAATCGAAGACCGTGCCCGGCTGCCGGGCACTTGAGATAACGCTAAAAATTAAAAACTGCGGGCATTTAGGAAATCGAAGACCGTGCTCGGCAAACCGTCAGATATAAGCCGGCTGCCGGCAATTAGCCATTCTGTAAAACAAATGCATGACGTGTTCATAAGCTCTAAAATTGTCATATATTGTTGAAGTGTACCGTTGATGGACACATACTAGAGTTAGCACATATTTTGCCCAGTACTTGAGTAGTGTAATTATGTATATAAAAACAGCAAAACATTCAGATTACTATAAACAGTGATGAGTTGATAAATCCATATGCTAAATGTCTTAATTATACATATGTAATGCTTTGATTCTTTATATTTTATTTATTTTTAGAATGGAATGTTCACCCGATATGACACCAACAGGGTGGAAGTGTTGGAATTGTGATGTGGACACACCTGCCATGCATATCAGGCTACCCCAGGGTTTACAGTTGTCGATGCGAGAGGTGAAATATGATGTAGGGACTTATTAATTGTACGTTATAAAGCCATTCATTACGTTTATTTACCAAAGATTGTTATTTATGCTATGAATGACCATTTTTGTTTTCGACCAGCCTCAAGCATAATCTGTAGCCAGACATACGCTACATATATAACTAGACAGGGGGCACTCACGGCGTGACATACCTCTCCGCCCAGCGACAGATACGCCATACGCCCCATGTAACATGTATGTATTACGAGCTGGCTCGCCGCTCGCTGCTGGCTGCTGCTGACTGTCTGGCTGCTGCTGGCTGGCTGGCTGGCTGGCTGGCTGAACTCGACGCGCTAATATCGAATCGCCCGAACAAAATATACCTACGAGAGCGATCATCTATAACCTCGTCGCGTTGGGAGGTAAAAAGTTCTTGTTCAAGCCCATTGCAGAAATTTTCAAGAAATTATATCAGCCAATCACACAATATGCGACATAAATGAAAGGTATATTGTAATGCACACGTCTGTTTACACTACACTCTACATTTACATGTGTCGTAAATAAAGCATATACCACATTATTATCATCTTCTTGTTAACATAGAATATAACACATGTATATTTAGGAGACAACGCAGTGTCAATTACGCTGTGCAGCTGCAACTCTGCAGCGGTCACAATGCCTACGGTATGGCTTGTGCCAATTAACACAACAAACCCCAGGTGGGCATCCCATTGATCTGATTGATTTCTAAGGCTGTTGGTACTGAGTGCCAGGTATCTGTCAAGGGTTTCTGTGAGGTGCTGATCTCTATCGGCGCTGAGACCCACTGGCAGACAACGATGTAAATATAGTAATTATATGTTTACAACTTAAGAAATGTCACTATCTATAAAAATGTGCTTATAAGCTTTACACAACGCATATATCATTTTTCTGTGTATTATGTTTCTTCCTGTCGATAAATTGGCCCAAACTCACACCTAGTTACATCTGGATACAGATTAGAGACATCTACAGAACCTTGCAAGGAGGGGTTTTGAGGAGTTACGCTAACTTGTGGAGAGAGGCCGATACCCAACGGCTGCTGGACGGTGATAATGGCACCAACATGCCAGGCTGCCCATAAGCCTTCAAACACACTATACTTGAATTCGATGATGCTACCTTAGAATTCTTGTGTTATATTGCAGTCTTGCTTTTTGGATCCATCAACGAACAAAAGAACCGTATATATTTTGCCTGACTTAAAATATTAGTATCTTTTCACAATTATTACAGGACAACAGGGACCAAGGTTTTCATCTATTTGAATGGCAATATTGGTCTTTTCGGAAAAAGGCGGCTGGCCATTGACCTGGGATTAGGAACTGTCACCTTCGATTTTTTCTCAACAAGACCAAGTTCCAGTATGTAAGCAAGGTTGGAGTGACGACTAAGAAAAGTGATGGGGTATGGGAGATATTGCTTTATAATCATAGCGTCTAAAATATACCAAGCTCGCTTTGTACAAGACTTCTACAGATGCATGTAGTCTTGTGGATGAACCAACTTGCATTGTTGGTGCCTTTTGATTATTAGTTGACACTTCATTTTGTTAAATGTGAATAATGTGAAATCTGAGGGCCAATCTGTTTGAGCAGAAAATGTGTGTGCTGTAGTAACTCTTTACCACATTTTACTTGCAGGTTTGCAATTTGAATTTCAAAAGCTGGCAATCCGTTAAGGAGCAATCCCGACCATGATATGACCAGAAAGTTTCTTGAACTTTAGGCATCGGTAAATGGCGAGTATATGTCAAAAACTAGGTACATGTGTCATTGTATGTAGTTGTGCAGAATTAATTTATGACATAAGTGTGGACAATTAATAAATCTGTCATAACATCACTTAAACTTACACATATTTATCACTATCTATACTTAAATATATGTCAACTTATTTTGTAACATAACTGATGCCTGTTTTTATTAGTTCTTGCGTATCAGAGCTTTCTTCGCCAGTGCTTTTTCAAAGGTGTAAGGTTCCTAGGGGTATACTGTATGACATTGCCTGTGTTCTTGACAAATGTTCAAGTAATCTTTGTTATATTTCAGGTTATATATCAGATTTGTAATTACTTAGAGAAATGATATTCAATATAAACTTACACGGTAATATATGGTACGCATGTACGTAGTACTATATTGGAGCAATTCCTAAATTTTAACCAAAATTTTTTTTACAGTACTATTGCTATTCAGTGTTGTCTTAAATTTCCTGCTCGTTTTAAGGTTTTGGCCACTTATTGCCAAACTTTCGAACAAAATTATATCACCGACACTATCACATAAATTAGTTCTGTTTTTTGTTCTAAAATGAATGT